GCACAAAGTTGGCATCTCACAACTGCCTGGAGCTTCAGTTGTAGAAAAATCCAACACCTTCTTCTGGCCTCAGAGGACAACTGCATACAAGAAAGAGAGAGAGAGAGAGAGAGAGAGAGAGAGAGAGAGAGAGAGAGAGAGAGAGAAATAAAAATAAATCTTAAAAATTACGAGACTATAGAGGACTTTGTGTTTATGCTGACAGGTGGGAAGCCAGAGGGCAAGAAAAATTTTATATACAAAAAAATTCTATACTGGGCATGGTGGTGTTTGCCTTTAATCCCAGCACTCAGGAGGCAGAGGCAGGTGGATCTCTGAAATCAAGGCCAGCCTGTCTCCATAATGAGTTTCAGGCCAGCTATGGCTACAGAGGATCTGACTCCTTCTTCTGGCCTCCTCAGGCATTGCATGACCCAGGTGCACTTATATACATGCAGACAATACACTCATACACATAAAATAAAAATAAATCAGAAACTTTTAATGATGTATTCTAGGGAATTGTACTCAAGAAGAGATTAAATGCCCTTCCTCAAACCCAAAACATTAAATAATTGGATTTGTGATTCCATCGTAGAGCTCAGGACACCCAGGTCCCACTCACATAAAAAATGACTAGACAGATGGTTTCACCTTCTGGCAAACTTTCAAAGAGGGATGATCTTCACAGATTGTTCTGGAAGGCAGAGGAAGAGAGCCATCCCTCCAACTTGTCTCATTAAGCTAGGATGACCTAATTACAGGCAGAAATTTTATTTATGAGCAGAGATGAAAATTCTCAGAACAAAATCAGGTCACTGTCAGGTGCAGCGTGCATACCTAGGATCCCAGCATTTGGGAAGCAGAGGCAGGAGGATCAAAGGCCAGTTTTAGCTACATAGTGAATTGGAGGTCAGCCTGGGCTACAGGAAACCCTGTCTCAAAAAAACAGAATGAGGGGCTGGAGAGATGGCTCAGTGGTTAAGAGCACTGGCTGCTCTTGCAGAGGACCTGGGTTCAGTTCTCAGCACCCACATGGTGGCTAACAACCATCCATAATTCCAGTTTCAGAGGATCTGATGCCTGTTCTCCAAAGGCATTATGCACATGTGGTACATGTACACAATGCAAGCAAAACATTCATCCACATAAAACAAAAATTCAAAATTCAAAAAACAAAGCAAAAATATTTCACATCAAATTAGGAAAAATACACCAAGGGGCTGGAGAGATGGTTCGGCAGCTAAGAGCACTGGCTGCTCTCACAGAGGACCTAGATTCAAATTCCAGCACCCACACTGCACCATCCGTAACAACCATCCATAACGCCAGTTCCAGGGGACCAAATGCCCTCTTCTGACCTCCAAGGGCACTGCACAACACAGATGCACTTACATACATGCAGGCATTACACTTGCATACATAACATAAAAATAAGAAATAAAATATTTTTTGAAAACCACCAGAATTGGGACTGGAGAAATCTGGAGAAATGGCTCAGCAGTTAAGAGCACTGGCTACTCTTCCAGAGGACCCAAGTTGGTTCCCAGTACCCACAATCACCTATAACTCCAGCTCCAAGGAATCCTACACTCCCTTCTGGCCTTCATGGGTACCTGCATTCACATACACATATCCAAACACAGACATGCACGTATAGACATAATTTTAAAATAACAAAAATAAGTCTTAAAGAAGAAACTATAGTTTGTCCTAGGAATAAGGATAAGCTCATGATTATCCACAAAAAAATCTATCGATATGCATCCATCTTATTAAGAATCTGATTATCAGGCCAGGTGTGGTGGTGTACATCTTTAGTCATGGCACTCAGGAGGCAGAGGCAGGTGGATCTCTGTGAGATCTAGGCCAGCCTGGTCTACATAGCAAATTCCAAGCCAGCTGGGGCTCCAGGGGGACCCTGTCTCAAAACAAACAACAACAACAAAAAGATTTTGATTATCTCAGAAGATGCAGAAAGAGGCTACCGATCAATTCATCATATTTATGAAAAAAAAAACCTCAGAATTTTTTCATCACGATAAAAGATAACACCAAAAACTTGAGTAAACGTCAAGTCTGATGGAGAAGCTTTGGAGGCAGATTCTCTAAGCTCAGGAAGATCTTGCTGACTCCTTGTTCTTCGGGGCACTAGAAAGTCCTGGGCTCTATAAGACATGAAAAAGAATTCTGAGGTCTAACAGCTGGGGCCTTAGAGCTACACAGTAAATCCATTCAGTGGGCACACTGATACATACCATAAAATAACTCAGGGCAGGTGCCTGATTAGTGAAAAATGACAAAATCAAATGGGTTCCACTACGCAGCGATAATCAATAAGAAATACAATAGAGGACTTTCTGCCTCCAGCCATGATGGACAAGTCCCTGCATCACAGACAAGACCAGGCCCCTCCCCTCCCACCACCAGACAACAGGACACTGGAGAAAGTCTAAGAAACAAAATCTAGGGCACTGAGGGGCAGCTGAGGGCAGTGACCTCTGAGATAAGGGTAGCACAGGAGTGGGGTGGGGTGCATCAAGTCAAGCATGAGTTGAAGATGCACAAGTCCAGGCTGTGGAAATGGCTCAACGGGTAAAGCATTTGCCGCACAGTTCCAATCCCCAGAACCCAGGTAAAGCTGGATGCTGCGGCATCTGTCTGTAGTCATGGAGTTCTACAGCCATTTGGGAAGAGGAGATAGGAGGGTCCCCAAAAGATGACAGGCCAGCGACCCAGGCACATACAGCAGTGAGCAAAGGATGCTGACGTAAAGGTGGAAGGCCAGGACTGCCACCCCAGGGTGTCCTTTGACATCCATAAACGTCTATCAATACACAGACACAGACAGACACACACATACTGATCTTTTTTTTTTATTTTAAAGACTAAAGATTCAGAAATAGCTACTTCAGTTTTGAAACAGAAGAGAGATGGCTCAGTTATTAAGAGCACTTGCTGCTCTTCCAGAGGGCCTGAGTTCAGGTCCCAGTACCCATATCAGGCAGCTCACAACCACCTATAACTCCAGTTCCAGGGGACCCAATGCCCTCTTCTGGCCTCTGCCGGGTTTGCAGCCCCTTGTTATATATTTTTTGAAGCAAGGTCTCCCTCTAGCCCCAGCTGACCTAGAACTCACTATGTAGACAAGACTGGCCTTGATCTCCCAGAGATCTGCCTGCCTCTGCCTCTGAGTGCTGGGATTAAAGACATGTGCCACCATGCCCAGCTAATTTTTTTGAGGCAAAGTCCCATGTAGCCTAGTTGGCCTTGAACTCACTATACAACTGAGGCTAGCCTTGAACTCCTGATCCTCTGGCCTCCACTGTCCAGGTCCTGGGATTGAAGGTATGTGCTGTTATGCTCAGCCCAATGAAGGATTTTAAATTGATCTATGATCACAATGTGCCACAAATTGAGGATGTAATCAATTCTGCCCTTTGCCATTGAGGTCTCATTTTCCAAACATTAATTCAAAGATTCAAAAGTACCAGGACAAAAACTGCTGATCTTGGGGGCTGGAGGGTTGGCTCAGTGGTTAAGAGCACCAGCTGCTCTTGTGGAGGACCTGGGTTCAATTCCTAGCACCCACGTGGCAGCTTACAACCTCTGTAACTCCAGTTCCAGGGGATCTGACACCTCCTTGTGCAGTGTATGACATGGGTGCACTTAGACACATGCAGGCACTACACTCCTACACACAATATAAAAAATAATAAAGCTTGCTGCTCTCACCTGGTGTGGTGGTACATGCCTGCCCAGCACTCAGGAAGTTGAAGCAGGAGTGATTCAAGTTCAAAGCCCATCTGGGTTTCATATTGAGACCCTGTTTCAAACAAAAAAATAATAAAATAAAACACATTTAAAAATAGGACATGAGGGAGTTGGACAGCCCAGTCATACCAGGCTTCCTTTTGATGAGTGAGTGTGCAATGTTCCTTGTAAATTTGTGTTTGAGCACTCAGTCTTCAGCTGGTTGTGCTGTTTAGAAGGGTGCAGAATGTTTGGGAAATAGGGCTCATGATAAGTGTATTGCCTGCATGGATGTAAGTGCACCTGTGTCATGCAATGCCCATGGAAGCCAGAAGAGGGTGTTGGATCCCCTAGAACTGGAGTTACAGATGATTGTTAGCTGCCAGGTGGGTGCTGGGATTTGAACCCAGGTCCTCTGCAACCCCCATTTAATGATTTTTTAAAGGGTGAAACTAGGCCAGACATGATGGCACACACCTGCCATCCCAGCACTTGGGAGGCCAAGGCAGGAGGATCAGGAGTTCAAGGTCATAGGAAGTTTGGGGCCAGTCTGAGCTACATGAGACCATGTCTAAAATAAAAGAGCTGGACATGGCAGCCTACGCCTTTAATCCCAGCACTGGAGAGGCAGAGGCAGGTGGATCTCTGAGAGATCTCTCAGAAGGAGCCAAGGGCTGCATAGTGAAACCCCAGCTCCAAAAAATCAACACAACCGAAACCACAAGTGACCGGAGAGGTGGCTCAACGGTTAAGAGCGCCGGCTGCTCTTGCAGAAGACCTGCGTTCAGTTCCCAGCACCCACATGGTGGCTAACAAATGTCCATAGCTCCAGTTCCAAGGACTCTAATACCCTCTTCTGGCCTCCACAGGCACTGCATGCATAGTCATAACAGTGATACACATAAAGTAAAAATACATGAAGAATTAAAAAAAAAAAACAAGGTGGGTATGGTAGTACATGCCTTAAATCCCAGCACTCAGAGGCAGAGGCAGAAGGATCTCTGTGAGTTCAAAGCTAGCCTGGTCTACACATCCAGTGCTACGTAGTGAGAGACCCTGTCTCAAAAGAAAGAAATAAAAATTCAGGCTAGGAGAGACCTCGGAGGAGAAGCATCTATGACAGGTTGAGGTCCCTCAGGCCCTGAGGTAGATTCAGTCATGGTAAGAACCCCAGGGAGTATCCAAAACAGGAAATTCAGGAGGCTCCCATGGCTCACCACGGTCCAGCAACAAAGACTCTCATGTGGGTCCCTTTTCCTTCTCTAGTGATGAAGGACACTCAGAACAACAGCCAGGCCATAGGCCTGACCTTCAGGCCCACCATGGACTCACTGACCTGGACCTACTTCGCAGTAAGTTTCCTGGCCATGACCACCTGCCTGTGTGGGATGGCGGGCAACGGCGTGGTACTCTGGCTGCTGAGCTTCCGCGTGCAGAGGTCCTCCTTCTGTGTCTATGTGCTCAACCTGGCAGCGGCGGACCTCCTCTTCCTGTTCTGCATGGCCACACTGCTCAGCCTGGAGACCGGGCTCCTGCTCAAAACCAGCCCCAGCGCCATGTTCTACGAGGTGATGAAAAGAACCAAGTACTTCGCCTACACGGCTGGCCTGAGCCTGCTGACAGCCATCAGCACCCATCGCTGCCTCTCCGTCCTCTTCCCCATCTGGTACAAGTGCCACCAGCCCCAGTACTTACCGGCCGGGGTGTGTGGCGCACTCTGGGCACTGGCCTTGCTGATGAATTTTCTGGCCTCCTTCTTCTGTATGCAGTTCTGGCACCCTGATGAAAGTCATTGCTTCCTGGTGGACATGGTGTTCAGTGGGCTTATCCTGGGCATCTTCATGCCCGTCATGACCCTGTCCAGCGCCATCCTCTTCGTGCGGGTGAGGAAGAGCACCGGACTGCGGCGGCGACCCCGCCGGTTGTTCGTGGTCATCCTGGCTTCTGTCTTGGTGTTTCTCACCTGCTCGCTGCCCCTGGGCGTCTACTGGTTTTTACTCTACTGGGTGGGCCTGCCACGGGCTGTGAGCCTCCTCTACATCTGCCTGTCCCGCCTCTTCTCCTGTTTGAGCAGCAGTGCCAACCCACTCATCTACTTCCTCGTCGGCAGCCAGAAGAGCCACAGGCTTCGGGAGACCCTGGGCGCTGTGCTGGGCCGAGCACTGCGGGATGAGCCTGAGGTGGACGACCGAGGGACCCCAACCACGTGCACCAACGATGGGATCTGAGGGTCACTCTCCTGAGCCTCCCACCTGCAAAGCCCAGCCAGCCCTTCCCTGCAAGCAGCCAGCCGACCTGCCTCAGGGGGCCCATAAGGCCTTGCACCTTACCCTGTTGGGGTCACTTTTCTTCATCCCAACACCCTAATCCAAACTGGGAAATGAGGTGTCTTTTTCTATATAGAAGGTCACCTGTTTAGACACAGATCCCAGTTTCCCTCCCTGTTCTGTGCAAGGCTGGCTAGGGAAATGGTGGGCCAGGCTTGTGTGTGGGTGGGAAAGGTTACCCCCTGCCACCTTATTTCCCTGACCTGTCATCTGACCTAGTTTCATGTCTGTTGCTGTGACAAATGCCCTAAGGCAAAGCAAGGTGAGAGAGAAAAGGGTTTATTAGCTCACAATTGAGATCACAGCCCATCACTTGGGGGATGTCAAAGCAGGAACTCAAACAGCTGGTCACATTACATCCACAGTCAAGAAGACAGAGAATCCTCGCCCCCTTCATCTGCCTTTCTCCTCCTTCACACAGTCTAGAACACCCCCACACACACACCTAGGGAGCATTGCTGCCCACAGGGGGCTGGGTCTTCCTGCACCAGCAATCAAGACAACCCCCCCCCACCACGGTCACACGACAATGTGATCTAGATAATTCTTCATGGGGCCTCTCTTTCCAGGAGATTCTAAGTTGTGTTTAGTTAATTGTTGGAATTGACCAGTACAGCAGCTTTGTCCATATCTGGGAAGTGGCTCGTGTGGCCTTGGGGCCCCAAGCTGGACCTTGGGGATGTGCTGGTGACATCACTTGGCCTCCAAGGTGGCAGCTCTGATGTACCTGTCACTGACTGTGTCTTGCGGCCCGTTGTGTGACTTTTCCTGGAGAGATGTGAACACGCAACTGCTCTTTCCAGATAGGACTCCAACCACAGATCAAAAGAATGATTCCTCTCAAGTCCAGCCTGACGAACTAATGAGTTTACTGAGCTTGCTTACAGGAGCATGGATGCAGGGGCTACTTCGAGTGTAGGTGAGGGGTTACTTACAGGAACATAGGTAATCCCAAAAGAACTCCATCCCTGAAAAGTACAACTGCGGCATGGATGGCGACTTCCCATGGCTGCGTAGACGGGGTCCCCCTCCCCATTAACTCCAGCACTTGCCAAGACCAAGCATGCCCGGGGGAGAATTACACACACCAGGAGGAAGAGGGAGGGAGAGCAGCACTCCACATCGGGCCAACCAGCTGTGTCAGCTTTGCTGAGGCTCCTGACTCTGACGGGCCCCTGACCCTGGCCTGGGCTATGGGGTTGCTCTGTGACCCTTGCCCCCTGAAAATCCTGATGATTTGCCCCCAGAGATCACCCTGCACATTCTCTGTGTGGAAGCTAAGGAGGCTAGAGTGGATCCCATAACAGTAGAGGATGGGGACACGGCAGTCAGAGACTGGAAGGGAGGAGGGACGGACAGAAAACACATATGCTTTGGAGGAGGTCAGCTCAGCAGAGTGTCTGAGTCCAGATATCAGGTGATGTTTGGTCCATCAGCTCCAAGAGAGGCCTGTAAAGGTTTTACCATAAAAAATGTAACCCACATTTGAGGTGATACTGACTTCCCCACTACGTATATGTGTATTGAACCATCACCGTGGACCTATAAACCTGTATAATTATTATGCATCAATTACCAATAAAAGGAAACAAAAAGCAAAACACAAAGCTTTGACTTTTGACTCTGGATTCGGGCACACTGCCTTTGTCCATAGTCAATGAACAAGCTCAAAGTCACTTACTCCCAGACCCAAGCACGCCTTGGTGGTCAGTTCTGGCATGAGGACCTCGCTTTCCCAGACCCATGTAAAAAGCCTGGCACAGTAGCAGCACCTGCCTGTAACCCCAGCACTGAGGTTGGTGGGGGGGCAGAGACAGGTGAATTCCTGAGGCACATTGACCAGCCAGCTTAGCATCAGCGAGCTTCAGGTTCAAGAGACCCTGCCTCAGGGCTGGAGAGATGGCTCAGTGGTTAACGACACTGGCTGCTCTTGCAGAGAATCCAGATTCAGTTCCCAGCACCCACATGGCAGCTAACAACCATCTGTACCACCAGTTCCAGGGGATCTGACACCCTCTTCTGGCCTTTTCTGGTATTGCACACATAGGTGCACCTACATACATGCAGAAAAAAACACTTATACATGAGCTAGGCATGGAGGTGCATGTCTTTAAGCCCAGTACTTGGGAGGCAGAGGCAGGTGGATCTCTGTGAGTTCAAGGCCAGCCTGGTCTGCATAGTGAGTTCCAGGCCAGCTGGGGCTACAGGGAGACCCCGTCTCAAAAAGAAAAATAAAAGGCTCTCAACATCTACTTCTCACCACTGTTACTTCTCACCACCAGGAAAGACTACCCAGACTCAAAAAGTTCCAAATCAGCTGAATTAAGCTTTTATAACTTTATTAGAATTTTAAAGAAAAAGAAATCTTCAGGGTAGGTGAGCTGGTGGTGATCTTGGAAGCTGCCTTGAGGAGGTGAATGGTGGGAAGAAGGAAAGAAACCCATAGAGGCTGCCTGGGGGGGTCAGACACATGGCTGACTCGTGGCCACATGGCTAGGAGAAGGGAGCTTTGGAGAAAAAGTAAAGAGATGTAAGACGCTAGGAGCAGCCCAAAGCCGTAAAGAAAGCGTGTTCAGTAAGAAAGGCATCAAGAAGAAAAGGGGGAATTACACTTCCCTAAAAAATTCAGGGGTTGCCAGGCGCAGTGGCACATGCCTTTAATCCCAGCACTCGGGAGGCAGAGGCAGGTGGATCTCTGTGAATTCAAGGCCAGCCTGGTCTACATAGCGAGTTCCAGGCCAGGTGGGACTACAGGGAGACTCTGTCTCAGAAAGACCAAAATAAAATAAAATAAAATAAAGAATTCAGGGAAGTGGGCAACTCACAGACCACATGGCTGGCTGTACCTAGGAAGTTCTGCGCCGGTAGGCAGGATTCCAGGCCGGAAAACTCGCTCTTATTAACACACTAGGTGTTCCGCCCATCTATTTAGCATAACCCACCTTCCTGGGGTGGTCCTATGACAAGATGATTGACCAGTTAATTTACACAAAATAGTATTACACCACCACACCCACGTACACACGCACATACCACACACACATACACCTGTATTAAAATCTCAAACTTTGGCCGGGTGTGGTGGTGCATGCCTTTAAATCCCAGAACTTGGGAGGCAGAGGCGGGCAGATCTTTGTGAGTTCAAGACCAGCCTGGTCTACATAGTGAGTTCCAGGACAGCTGGGGCTGTCTCAAAAAGACAAAAAAACAAAACAAACAAACAAAAAAAAACCCTCAAACTTTGCTTCTCTCTTTTGACTAGACCTGAAATTCTTTTCTGTGCTGAAGCCACAAATCCCAGTTCTCTGAGTCTAGGTCCCTAAGAGTTTAGGGAAACTCCTCAGACTGGGGAGGGAGGCTGTGGAGTCTCCAACCCCTCAGGGCTGACAGTCTGAGTGCCACTGCTCCCCACACTTGGTAGGACCCTCCCCTCCTACCCCCTAGGCCATGACCTTTCTGGTCCTCAGGAAAGCCTTGGTCTGTCTGTAAGTCCCAGGGTGCAGCCGTGATGCAGAACTTGTGTGGAGGATGAGCCCTTCCCCAGTAGACCCTCTTTTGTTGTCTTTCAGAGTATTCTGTGTGTGTGTGTGTGTGTGTGTGTGTGTGTGTGTGTGTGTGTTGGAGTATGTTCACGTGAATAGTTACCCCCAGAGGTCAGAAGAGAGTGTCAGATCCCCCTGGAACTGGAGTTACAGATGGCTGTTAGCCATCATGTGGGCACTGGGAACTGACCCCGGGTCTTCTGCAAGAGCAGCCAGTGCTGTTAACTGTGGCGCCATCTCTCCAGCCCTCTTGTCTCAAGAGCTTTGTCTCAGCAAGAAAAGCAGCTAACAAGCTCCACACTCAGTGAAGGAGCTCCTTCATGAGCACGTCACATTTCTTGCTGATCAGGACATCCAGGAAGACTACTTGCTCATAGAACACTGCTAGCAAGGGCACCAACCACCAGCTAGTGACCGAGTGTCGTCAGTTCAAAGATGATTCCTGAAGCACGGTGCTGCATGCCTGTAATCCCAGCACTCAGGAGCCTGAGGCAGGAGGATTGCTTCAAATCCAAGGCCCAGCCAAGGCTAAGAACAAGACCATTTCTCAAAAAATAAATTACAGTTCATTGTTGTACAAGAAAACTGAAAATATCCTGAACTCTTAAACTTATGTGTGGAAAGAAACTTGATAAATATTTTCCAAACTTGCAGATAGGTCAACAGATGTGTGAGGGTAGGAGACAAAAATAAATAAATAAATAATAAATAAATCCAGGTGTGGTGGAACACACCTGTGTGCCCAGCTCTTGGGAGTTGGAATCAGGAAGAGTCTGAGGGTTGCCTCAGCAACTACATGAAATCCTGTGTCAAAATAAATAAAAGTAATAATAGTCAGGGCTGGAGAGATGACTGAGCAGCTAACAGCACTGGCCACACTATCAGAGGACACAATGGTTCCCAGCACCCACATTTAGTGGCTCAGAACCATCCATAACTCCAGTTCCAGAGGCCCCAACGCCCTCTTTTGGCCTCTCCAGGCACTGCACACGTGGTACACATACAGACAAGCAGGCATACACACAAGCAGGCATACGCACAAATACGCAAAATAAAAATTTTAAGTAATAATATTCAAAACAAAATTTAATGAACCATGTTTTAAATATTGAATTATAAGAGCCAGGTGAAGTGACGCACGCCCTTAATCCCAGGACTTGGGAGGCAGAGGCAGGAGGATCCCTGTGAGATCAAGACCAGCCTGGTCTACATAGTGAGTTCCAGGCCAGCTGGGGCTACAGGGAGACCCTGTCTCAAATAGACCAAAAATAAA